AGGTTAAGCTCCCCCTGGCGGTTTTACAAGGTGACGCTGGATAGTTTCCGGCAGAGTGTCAAATGACGCGCGATTAACCACGTGACACTGCGTGACACCGCGTGATACCGCGACACGCCCACCGGGGTATGCCACGAAATACCCCACCCATTTTGAATGGCTGCATCTGTATTACTGTATCTTGTTATGTGACTACTTTTGGGTGAAGTTGTGCAACCTTTTTCACTTGAGGAACAGAACATCTAAAGACTAGACAAAAAAGTTATGTTATTAAAAGTGGAGCAATATGTGCTCCACCGTTCTACACTTTCCCACACTTCCTCAATCTCCACTCCTCCTCTTGATATTCAGTGTTCCCTATACAATATCAAGTCATTTCCCAAGATCATCTCTTATCTTTCACGCCAGCCACACCCTGTATTCAGACATACTGTATGGTACGGTAAATTAAGGTCAGACAAATTGTTTTAAGTTACTTATCAGCTAATTATTTCCACAGCATGCTTCTTCAAAAGAAGCATTCACCTTTGCAAATACAATACTACTTAAGGCCATTTCTCATAATACGGTATTGACACACATCTTTTAAGTGGGAAGCTACAGTATATGAATTCTAGTGACAGAAATATTCTTAATAGCAAAACAGTGTTTTCAAATTGTTGATTTGGGAAAAGATCTACTTTATATACACAAGTTGGAAATACCTTTCATATTTCTGAAGAAATTTATTATTATTAAGGTAATCATAAGCACCATGAAAACGCCATACTTACAGCAATAGACACTACAATTGGACCTTTAATAATCCACCAGTAGGGAGAATTTTCAGTAATGTCCCAACATCTATTAAAAATATTGAAAATAAGATGAAACAAACAAAAGCCATGCATTCACTATTTATTAAAGCATAGGAGATGCTTTGTCATTTAATTTTATATATATATATGTATAAATAATAACAAGTACTTACTCTGTATCTTCAAAATAAATCCTTGACACTATCCAAATAATTATAAAAATTGTTGGAACTCCTAAAAACAAACAACAGTACGAAAAATCTGTTATAAAAATATCACACATCAATAATGTTTAGATCATCATATTGAGTGAACTGATAAAATAAGTCAAGTTAAAAAATGCATTTAGTACGATAGAAAATAACCAAGCAAAATTAATAATTCAGAGAGTATTCTGGATTTCAAAGTTTTGAGAGGGAGAAAATGATTGACAAAAATATTTTGTTTTGTAGAAAATGTGAAAATATAATGCTTCTCTTCTATAAAAAGGACTGTACATTCACATAAAGTTTATGTACTGCACATTTATGGGGTTCTTGGGGAATTGAGACAGAAACAGATACTGAAAAAAAATCATACAGTGAACATAACATGGCAGGAGCACAGGAAAATGAAACTTAAAGAAAAATCCAGTTAATAAAGTACAGTACATGTCAAATAAATAAGATCTAATTTGAACATGTTTGAAATACAGAAAAGTGTTATTACTACCAAAGCATTAGATGCAGTCATAAAGAATGATGCCGATGACAACTACAATTACATAGTTTCAGTGTGATATGGTTTGTGTTGGGCTGTACTTCCTATCTATTCCCTGTAATTCAACTTTAAAATTGTTCTTGTTTCAAATTAGGCAGCAAGATAGTGATATTGTAAGTATTTCTGCCTCTGCCGGGGTTCTGGCTTCATTTCCTGGGTTTTCCTGGGTTTCTATGTGTTGAGATTTTGTATGTTCTTCCCATGTTAGCATGGGTGCTTAAGTTTTCTCTCATAGTCGAATGACATACTGGTAGGTTGGCTTCTGCAAAAATTGGCCCTGGTGTGAGTGTTGCATGTTTGTGTCTGTGATGGGCTGGCATCCCATTCAGGGTATATTGCTTGCCAGGATAGGCTCCTACTACCCTGCGACCCTGTATGTACAAGGCTTATTCTATTTTTATTTCTATATTGTTGATCACTGAATTTTACCTATAGACATTCTCAGGATTCTTTGAGTAACTGGTTCATGTCATTTAATAATATGATAAGGAAAGTTATGAATGAAAATATATTTTGTTCATCTTTGTTTAACTGGCTACTATCTCTGAAAATTTTTGAAAAAAAACAAAATATGAAACTTTGTCTCAAATGATTATATTTTTTATTAATTTTATTATATTTAGATTGGCATTCAGAAAGATTTGGTTTATGTAATGCAGAGATGTATTTTTTTTAACTTTAATAGCTAGGTATTTCTAGCAAATTACTAGGGTTCACATTTAAAAGGTTCAAAATAGAGAAAAGATTAAACATATAAGGTCAATCTTATATTGCCTTTAACCACACCTGCCAGAATTATGTTTGATTTAGAACATTTCAGAAACAAAATTAGTTCTTTCTGCTTTGTAAAAAATGTAATTCTGTACTACAGTATTTAAGAGAATCCTTCATGTTGCTTGCTTATTGTACATTTTCTAAGAAGCTATTTATTCAAAATAAACCTATAAAGCACTTATGTGTAGCACGCACTTGGTTGATATGATGGGAGACAGAGTGCACCAGTCAGTACACATGAGCTGTCAGTGGGAAATAGAACAGTGTAATGAAGCCATTTCATAGATGGGGATTATTAGGAGGCCATGGTAAAGACCTGAGGGAAAATTTACCAGGACACCAAAGGACACCTTACAAAATTCTATAAAATATTTTGCATTACATGTTTAAATGCCATTTGTGAGATTCAAACAGTTTATTTATTAGTTACAACCCAATGGAAAGGAGAAGCCGAAGTTCATTATCACAAGTGGATCTTGTTAATTCTGCTTGCAGAGCATTAATAATGAATATGAAATAAAACTACTTGTAATTCTGGAACATGAGAGAAACAAATGACCACATTAATTCCTAAGAGTTTCTAGGTTCAAATGAGTGAGATTATGAATAATTAATCTTTTAGTTCAGATTTAGAGATCTAATGTGATCTGATATCCTGATGAGGTACACATTGTAAATATAACACAATTCAACTTTATACTAATTCTCTTAGTTAATATAATAACTGTATTAACAGCTATTAAAATTTAGCTATTAAGGAAAAGCTGCTAAATTCATTTTTCAGTTCTTAAAGCCTCACAACACTTCTAAGAAGCAGCAGTGAAAAGCAATTTTCATTAAATGTTTGTAAACTGTGTGACTTATGTAGAATTTAATAAGTATACAGTTATCAATGAATCCACTATCTAATGCTGAATTTAAATAGTGTGGTACATATTACAAATTATTTTAAAACTGTGTGATTTTACATAAAATGTGTAACTTGTATCTTTAGAAAAATGTGCACCTTGATAGCAATGACAATTTAAGGTAATACATTTAGTTCAATGAACATTCAGTACCTTACAGTCTATCTTCTTTTCTGTTATCTGTACACAAGATATTAGTGTCACAAACGGGTTATGTGTATTCAAACTAGAATAGCACACACCAACATACTGTATATATAGTATATAATAATGCAAAGGCACCCTTTGGGTGCACATGGTTACAGGATTGTGTTTTTACTTTGATAGTGAATCCAGACATTTTGGCCTGAACATTTCAGTGCACAAATATTCTTAACAAAATATTTTCCAAAGATTATTTTGGAGCACTTACCCCAGCCGAGCAAGATGAACAACCAGAGGCAATTTTTTCCTTGATAAAAAGATGACAATTGAAGCCAGTTGAGATGCAGTGCCTCAACCAGTAGCCAGAAGAAATTGGCCATAACACAATAATGGCAAAACACCACAGATGCTTTACAGCTCATCTGAGAAAAGAGGGAAGTTTCCTTTAGATATTGGTCAGTTTTCAACATTTTTTCATGCTGGTAATTGCCTATTTTTCGGGTGTCATGAACCAATTTCATTCTGTTGTAAACACTGTCATACCACCTGAACAATTTCCAAATGCTATTTCAAACATGAACAACTCTGGACAGAAACCAAGAAAAAAATGTGTGTTAAGTGAGTTTAGAAATGAAAAATGAACACTCTATTCTACCATAAGAGCAGTGAATGCTTGGAATAAATCACATTTTTAATTCGATTCACTGCACCCCTTCATGTAAGTATGCTTTGATTAATTACATTCTCACATGAAATGCTACAGTGCTGCCTGAATGTCCTGCTGCTCAGGGAGGTGTTGTCACTACTTTTGGGTTCTTTCCAGGGACCTCATGGTCAGTCTGCAACATACTGTATGATTTCAAAGGCACAGCTTCAAGAAAAAGCAATGTTCAGGTCCTGTCATGGCTAGAGCCTGTCAGACCTGCATAAAATATTCATCTAGTATGTTTATTATTTGTGTATTACTGTACTTATTGCATAATATTAATTTACCATTAATTTAAGCACTATTCATTTAAGTTTTTACAGTTTTTTGCTATTTTAGTACAGTTGAGTATGTCACTTTTTAATGATTTTTGTTTAGAAGCAACACATTAAGCTTCAGATTACTAACTTGTTATACGGTTCAGGTCTATCTGTCTAAAACTCTAAACTGAAGAAACCCATTCTTGTGATTACAGCGCTAGACAGTTGCCAAATTACATGTAGACACCTGGATCAGTACACCAGGATAAATACTCAAGGAATAAACTATTACAAAATAGTAAAAAGGTATATAAAAACTCATATTCCCAAACAATTTACATTTTCTTTTTTAGGGTTTTAATAAAACTACTAATATCAACCCTTTATGCAGCTACTTGTTTGTCTGCATATAGAATACTATTTAAACAGCAATAATTCACGTAAAATGAGAAATTTATTTTTATAGGTCTACAAAGATCGCTGCAATCTGTTATTCAGAACTAAATGAATATCAACCATTATTAAGATTTCATTGCCTTTTTTCACAGACATTATGTACTGTCAGTCCATTTTAAAATAAAACAATATGTGGCAAATTAATTTTCTGAATGAAAAAGTTAATCATGCATAAAGTCAATTACACTGCAATAATAAGGTTCTTTTTATGAAGAATTCTTGGTGGATGTATAAAAAGTGTTTCAGTAGCTTGGTCAAATTCTAATTAATGCAACAAGATAATGAAAGCAAAGGGATAGCGTACTAAATATTTTAATGTTTGGCTTTAATTTGGTGGCACAGTGGTGAATATTGTTGGTTCAGACTGCTGGGGCCCTGGGTGCTATGTTCACATGGGTTTCCTCTGGGCTTTCCCATTTCCTCCCACATTCCAAAGCAAAAGTAAGCAACCATTTATTTACAGTATTTATTATCTGTGCAGAGGTGGAATGTATGACTGAGAAAACTGTGGAGAGAAGTCCAAGACCACACAATGATTTAATAATGGATAGATAAGGATAGATTCCACATGGAACCCCTAAAATAAGAAAAACAGCAGCAAAATCAATAATGCAAAATCACATTTCATAATCCTGGGGACAAATAGGAATCCTGTGTGCTTGAGTGACAGTGGGTAGAGGTTTGTGTGGGGGAGGGGTTGTCTGAGGGCAGATACAACATGAAGGCACAGGGGATGGCGCAGGTTGAGAATGAGGAATCCAGGCCAGACGTAGACTGATGCTATTTGCTTACAACCTAGATGTTAACAATGAAGAGAGGCTGGGGCAACAGGTGAAGTGGTTTTGATGCTTGACGAGAAACATAGAAAAAGACAGTCTGACAAAGGTATGGTCTAGCAATATTGAGTGCATGAGACAGCATTGAGTCTCTTAAAACTAAAACCCTAAATGTAAGAAATATAAGAGGTGCTCAGCAGGAGAAATATTCATGCATAAGAAAGCATAAATACAGTTATGAGATCACATTTTCACTTTCTTCCAAATGTACAGATTATTTAACAATTCTATTTAAATTCTATTCTGCTGCACACATGATTGTGCAGATATGAGATTAACAGACAAACGAGTGTAGTCTCTCAGAACAGCAGAGACTCTTCATGATTCTTGGTAATTTTACTAGCCCTAGCCTGTGGACATTTCACATTTCACATCCTACAGTAAAACGTATATACAGCACAAAGCTCAACATCAAATTGAAAACCTACGGTATGTTTTTAGTTGCTTTCACTTTGCTATTCTTAAAGATCTTTTTAAACTAAAATACCAGCATTTTTCAAAAAACGAATCCTTGTTCATAGTTTATGTGTCTAAAAACTCACATATTCCACATCAATAATGTCCACTGAGAATATACTGTAGATAACAGATAATACAGTACACAGTCAATTAATCGAACACAGGTAGACGTCAAATATATCCAAGTCTTGCCACTCACAACTGTCCACACTAAAGTATTTACAAGCTTCTTGTAATCCCTAACCTGAAGCAGATATATATTCTTTTGTCCCACCATCTTCAGTCTGCAGATAAAAGCAATTTTCAAAATTACAGCCCACTGACTGTGGTTTTAGACATCAGCTCTTTATGCGATGCAGTGCAATGCAGTGGAAATTACATCAATAGAGTTAATTAGATCCTTTTTTCCATACAAAGTAAAAAAAAGGATTCAATCTGTTTTCAATTTAAGCAGACATTTTATGACCTGTATCTTTAGATACTGAAGACCTAGAATTCAAAAAGAGGAAGAAGATTTTGAGAAAGAAACACATCAAACAGGATGTGGCCACAGGTGAACTGAATTGTATTTTACAGAAAAGGCAGTCCAACATACTGTATAAACATATCATGCAAAAAGAAATAAGGCACAGCATTAACTTACAGTTGAAAGTGTACAATGATTGGTTTCTTCATTTGAAAACAGAATGGCATCCTTAATGAAAACTGCCACAGCTCTCAGGATAAAGGTGACAAAGAGTTGGATGTGAATATAATTTCTTGCACAGTGAAGCCTCCTGTAAATTGATAACAATAATAAACTGGTAAATTGTTCTTTTCACAAAAACGTGAAAGGAAAAAAATCAAATGAAATGTATATTTATTTTCCCATCAAACTTTGTGAAAGATTTGTATAAGAAAAACAGAAAGATATTTTTCTATTTTAAAAGGTAAAATATTTCTTAGAGAAGTCAGTATTGTGCAGTCCCAAAATCTGACTCATAAAACTGTAAATCAGGCTACTAGTTTGAACTAGTAGCTTTCAACATGTTACTCACCTCCTCATATAGTACATTTCTTAAACAAAAAATGTGTCTTATGAAAATAATGAAAAAGATGATAATTTTATCCTTAAAATATTTTTTTTCTCACTGATGATTCAAGGATTATATAAATAACACTTGTAAATCTGCTCTGTTTTGGCTGAGATTCATTCAAAGTTGGTGAAGGGCTCAGACACAGTAACAGTCCCCAGACAGCATCAAACTCTGCTACGCTAATAGACTGCATCTACTATGTCAATTTTTAGGTTTAAGGGTTAGAGAGATGTCACTCCTTTAACCTGTTCACTGTCCTGTTACATATGCTGTACACTATACAGGAAGCAAGTGGAAAATCATACAGATTCTGAAACCCACAAATCAGAAAACAGGTCCATCAGAGTGAGATGTTTTCAAAAATAGAGGAAGCCTAATAGCATATGATTATAATATTTGAAATGACTACTTAAAACGTCTTTTAGGTCACTTTGTTAGCATGTTATCAACATATGAATATGCATTGAAAGTGTGTTCCATTTATGTTCTGCTCATGTCACAGTTAAGCACCCTAGTACCTCCATTGTCTTCGTATATCTCCCATTCACTTTGAGCGGCAGCACCTTGTGATTTATAAATTATGTTGTGTTGCAGCCCCTTTATACACACAGTTCAAATGTTGCATTTGTTTTTGTGATGATATCTGTTATGATGCAGCTGTTGTTAGCAGGGCTGCAGCAAGTTGACAGTTGGAGATCCAAGCGGAGATCTCAAAGGGAACCCAGAAAGATGAGCAAAGAAGAAGTGGAGAAATAAGTGAACAGGCATGCAGGCTTGATAATTTAAGGTTGCTGATCACAGTCTGTGAAGAAGAGGGCGCAGAGAGTTCACCTGGATATTACAAAGTAAATAACCAGTTCTAAAGTGGATCCGGCAGAGAAGTGGGGTCCCAATGTACTGGAAAAGGGTTTCTAGATGAAGGCAGTTCTTGATTGGAAAAATGCTTGAAGAATAGTATCTCAGGATAGCACAGTGTTAGGATAGCAGCACCATTCATCTCCATTTTAATTTCCATTTTAATTGACCATGCAAGGGAGACTATTCTTTTATAATGAAGGCAGTGGCAAGAAATCTTTAGTGCATTACTCTGCTAGTTTCTATTGCTAAGGAATCGCTAAGGTTATAAGGGAAGCCATAGTGAAGGAGCATTGGTTATAAGTTGTCTAGGAAAACGAAGTCTGCCTTAGTGAGGTTACTGAAGGAATTCCATAAATAGGTATTTATATCCACAATAGTTATGTGGATATAAAATGGGTTATGATTTATAGTGGCATGGTTTACTGTTTATGGTTAGAAAGAGAGATGCCCAACCTCCCATGTGACTCAGTGAAGCTGGACTCACTAAAAGTTGGATGTCTGGTCCTGGAGGTATAGTCAGTGTCATTGATTAGGATTTGAGAACTTGGGTCTCTCCATGAAGCTAAACCCCAGGACCAGAGAAAAAAAAAGTGTTGGAAGTCACCTAAATACCACATTTACAATTCTTCCAGCTCGGAACCTAGCCTGGGACCAACAGGTGGATGGTTGCCATGGCGCTCAATGCTGGTAATGAGCAGAGACTGCTACAATCACCATACATAATTTTAAGTATTGTTAAGAGAAATAGGGAAGGACAAAATAGTCTTGAACTATTGATTCCAAAAAGAAAGTCAACAAGAGAGCAGAAACTGGGATTCCTGGGTGACTGTCCCTGGAAATAGTCAACTCAGAAGAACAGGTTCTGTCTGTTAAAATCCTTACTTAAAGAATGGTAGTATTTAAAAATTTTATAATATTTTTTAAACCTGATACCTAAACATATTTTCCCTATGTATGTAAACATATCTATGTTTTGTATTTAAAAAAAGAGTTTATTCTTCCATTTATGTTTTATATTATATAGAAATTGAATAATATAATTCATTTGTGGAAAATAAAACAGTATAATTAAATCTAATACAAGAGTGATAATACTTTTGACATCAATTAGATAACATTATTCTCCATAGTCTCCATACTGATTATTTGTAGTATAAATTCAAGATAAAACTCCAGCATAATGTTGGAATGTTAAAAACAAAATCAAATTTAAATGAATCTTTCAGATGCTTCTTAGGAAAAAAAAAATATTCCAGTTTTTTAAAGGAATGATAGTTCTTAATGCATCATCATCTCAAATGGCAGTTATTGACTCAAATTAAATTTAACTTGTGCCATTGTGGTCTTGAAACAGTCTGCCCTTTGAATTAGAGCAGATAAATTAATAACAACACGCCCATGCAGCTATGTTTGAGTTTCTGATATATTACACTGTACTTATACAGTATATACAGGATCAACAATCAACCTGAAAATAATCTGTTACATGGGAATGTGATAGCAGCCTTGCATAAAACCTTTACTCAAAACTCCAAAAATTATTGGCAGATGGTGAGGTGTTTTATTTTTATGGTTTGTCTTTATGAGTACATTGGATTCTTTTCCCCAAATTATTAAAATGTTTGCAAATTAAACTTTAGAATGGACAGTATTTATCCATGCTGAATAACACTGTCCCTTCTTTTTTTGTAGATTGCCATGTAATCATATTATGCTGACACAAACCATTAATCAGTTTACAAAAATATTATCACAACTTGTCATACCATAAAAAATCCAGGTTTCAGAGTGTCTAAGGTTGTTTTTTGAAGATGAAGAGTGTTACAGCATTGAAATTGATATGCTGTAGATCGATTGCATTAGTGACAGAAACCCAACATAATCAAATGCATAATAAAACCAAAAATATTACTGTGGCAAGCAGGACATTAAAGGAACTATAATAACAGCCAGTCTTGCCACTAGAGGCCTCCCTTCCTTGTAAATAGGCTTACAGGTTCAATTGCAATGAACTGAAAGCAGTGTACTTACTGTAATTCAACCTATATATTCCCATATCAACTAGTCACCAACTTATTATGCAATTAAATCCAAAGGTGTGTTGCAATTGACCCACCAAGCGGTGATTGTTTAATTAATTTGTTTAAATTTGTTTGACAATTTATTTGTCTAAAAAGGGGTTGCATGGTTTAAGTAAGAACTTGCTTTACAGTTATAGTTGTTCATTACAGAGGAGACAGGAAATGTTTTGCTGCTATGTTGACATTGCTTAATATCCTTTCTTGTTATATAAATATACTCTGAGAAATTATTTAAACCAAACAGAAATATGAATGATAAAATGTTAATTGGTTATGCTCAGAAGTGATTGTAATTGTTTTTTTGATGAGGAGTTTGATGTTTATGTGTTCAAATTAAACAAGTGTTAAATAGTGGTATTTCCATTCATAGTTGTTTCAATGATACTTTCTAGGTTTACCAATAGCATGACTGCCATTGTCAATGACACTGAAGTTTTATCAGGAAAAATGACTTTTTGTCCTTTTAGCAAATTAGGAAGATATTATCATTGGATATAAGTTACCTTATGTTATGAATTAACAGAAATAATGGATAAACTGTAAACACCATCCATTGATATTTTGAATAAAAAACATGATTTATCACATGATTTGAGTGATGTACAGTACCTGAATAGGAGTAAGATTACAACAGCAACTGTGAGAGAGATAACAGAAGCTCCATATCCAACTGTATAAATCACCTTCACTGTAGCAAAATAAGATTCCTGCAAGACAGAGAAAGATCACACAACATAAAAACATACTACTGTGAATAACAAGTATAATGTTTAATGTTTACACTTGATGTATAATGTTTAATGTTCTAACAAGAACCTTATTGCTGAACAGAAAAAAGGATTTCTAACTTGTTCATAGATGTTTCATGACAACTGAGAAAAATACATTAATGAATTATAAAAGTAGAAATGGTCTGATTAACATTTCATCCATCAACTTTTTAACCACTTTATCCAGTACAGGATTGCAGGGCAGCAAGAGCCTATCCTAGCAAGCAATGGTAGTAAAACCAGTCCATTGCCAGTCCATCACAGCACACATACAGACAAATACAGACACACTCAATTGAACCCAGGTAGGAATGCTCACCACTGCGCCATCATGCCACCCCTGATTAATGTTACAACCATTTAAAATAAAAACAGCAGTTACATTACAGATTCATAAAATTATAAACAATCCATGAATCGACAAAAAACAGCTTTATTGGTTATAAATTAAGAATACATAAACTATTTATTTAAATTAAATACATTCCTAAACTGGCCAGCAGCCATATTACTCTGCAGCTTTTAACTAGCTACCCCCTGAAGCTAAGTAGGGTTGAGCCTGGTCAGTACCTGGATGAGGGACCTCTTGGAAAGCTACAGTTTGCTTGCTGGTTGCTGCTGGAAGTGGTGTTAGTGGGACCAGCGGGGGGGGTGCCCACCCTGTGGTGGTCTTTGTGGATCCTAATGCCCTGGTATAGTGGTGAGGACACTATACTGTAGTGGGCACTGTCTTTCGGATGACTTGTTAAACTGAGGTCCTGACTCTCAGTGGTCGTTAAAGATCTCCAGGGATTTCTCTAAAAGAGTAAGGAGTTATCCCGGTGTCCGGGCCAAATATTCCCCCTTGGCCTTTACTGTGGCCTCCACATTGTGCCCATTGGCTTAACCTGTGATGGACTGGTGCCCCTTCCAGGATGACCATGCCTTGTGCTCGTTGCTTGCTGGGTTGTCATAGAGACAATAAAACAAAAAATATTAGAATAGTACTAATGAAATCTATAACTTCCATAGTAATTTGGAGAGCATCAAATTATAAGTGAAAAAGAATAGGACCAGAATCTTTAACTCTTATTGATCTAGAAAAGATAAAAATGCATGAAGCTAACAACTGATAGTTCTTCTAGAAATGCTTTCTATTGTTTTACCTTGAAAGACGCTACATCATCGTAAGGAGGAAAAGCAGCTCAAAAGAAAGAAAAAAGTTTACATCACTGACAGCTGTTTTAGTTTTTACTATGTGTTTCTTCTCTAGTTCATGTAGAGCAGAGTTATTATGTTACTGATGTAGGGTTAGCAAACATATTCTTACAAGGGTGAAATTACTGTATGTTTGTTTGGTCTATAAATGGTGTGCTCTATAATGGGGTTATGGGGTTTTTGAAGAATTTACTTGGTGTGTGTACAGTACATGAGGGAGTTTGGCTGAATATAAGACTTCCACTCTGCTTTGTTGTTGTGTTATGAGCTACCTTATTTAGAGGGAGGCCTGTAATACACAATTTTTAATGTTTTATTCTCAAACCTGGGAGTTGTATTCACTGCTTAGGAGACTTAAAAGGTAGTAACAGAAAAGCTCTGTGGTGCAAGTCAAACAAGACCTCAGAAGGAATTTTGAGATCTATCATATTTCTATTATAGTTGATGTTTCTCATATGAAAACAATAGGAAAATATTAACTTTTTAGCTGTGTACATCAGTCTTTCCAGACATTTCCTTTAATAGAAAATCACTTCCTTACCAAGAAAAGTTCATTTTTTGCCAGCTTTTAATTCTGGGAATTTAGCATTAGCCAATATAAAACAGTCACCACAGACTATTAAAAATGAATATTAACAGTGAATTCTATATTGCTATCACTTGTAGGTACATTCAGTAAATTGAGAACTAACCTGCTTTTGAGAAATAAGGTTATATAGTGTAATACACACACTTAAATGATGAAGTTATACAGATGCTTTCCATTTCATTTACTGTATATGCAGTATACGTATTAAAAAAAATGTTACGAAGTTTGTTTTTGCATTTATATTAATTAGATTTTATTATGTTAGTTTATTACTCTCATTTTTTAAGATTACTCTGTGGTGAGCAACACATTGAACAGGTTGTTATTATTTGTGTCCTTTTTAATCAGAAAGGCCCATGCTATTGTAAATTTTAAGCAAAGGTGGACAATGCTACTCCTAAAGGGCCTGTGTGTCTGCGGATTTTACAGGTCTCTTTAAAACACTAGCACCTGAAAAGCTGGCAGAAGTTGCTAGATTATTCCCATAAAGACAAAACTGGGCTGATTTAGATTTTAAGACCTGAGTTGGAATGAAATCCTACAGAAACAGGAGTGCCTACCTCTGATGTAAAGTATTGTGCATCTTGTACACAGTATTTTTGCAAATACTGTACTGTAGCGGTAATGCTTATTAATAAGACAGAATTAAGTGTTCTTGGGCTTTCCCAAATGAGGCCCCATCTCTCTGTTCATCTCTGTGGTGCAGCCACAGAGGAACTATTCATGCAGGCTGATTTAAAGAT